CTAGTTGGCGTGTTTGACTCGATATGTGCCCCCTCCTGCGGAGGCATCGAAATGATGTCGGATCCGAATTTTTCGATTGAGATATCAGCCAACCGAATACGGAAACTCAACTCGCGAGCAGCGGCAAGCTTATCAGCAACTAGTAAAAGTTAGTTCGGCCGGATTTTCAACAAAACGAGGAACAAAAACATACGGAAGAACTTGCGATACAACCAGGATCCAAGATCGCAAATCTTATCCCACTGGCCGTCGATGTAGCGAAGCCACTCTAGACTGCGAATCATCCTGTCGTCTTCTGGAGCGACGGAGGTCCCAATCAAGTCGGTCTTAGGTGATACTAATGCCCGGGAACCGTCAGGTCGTCGCAGCACTCTCGAATAGCCAGTGACTCCTCTAGAATGATCAATTGCAGAGACATGTTCCTTCACCCACGCCCACTGGACATCAAGAACAGTTTCCATGTCAATGCCATGTTTCCGCGCGAGTCGAACTTGCTGTATCTTCTCTTGTGGGTCAACAATTTCAATGAGAATCTTGGATAGAACTTCGTGTCCCATTGGTGCGGGAAGGAGAGACACGTAAAGTGGGACAAGATGGAATAGACCCCTGTCTTCCAAGTTGGCAATATGTCCAGCCACGAGCACCGACGCCGTTTCGACGAAATGGGCATCCACGCGGGCGTAGCCCCTCGCACTGGCCACAACGTAGACATGGCTTGCAATTCTGAGAGCTTCTTCGTCATCGGCAGCTATGAGGAAAGATTCATCTACTGGCTTGCGCGCAATCTCTGGGATAACAGAGCTATTGCCATATTTGTCGGCGCTAACTTGAGATACAGCGTGAGCAAGAGAAGTGAAGAATGTATCGTAGCCTTTGCTGAGAATCGTGGCCTGGATATTGCGGAATGGATTCCGCGCTTCGCCGCTGACCCGGTCGTTGCCCTTGAGATAGACAAGGAACTTTTGAAGTTCTGCGTGCCCAGCTGGTTCAGGCTTGAATGCCACAGGGGTGTTGGGGGAGTGGCTGAGTTTTCGCTGGAATTGCTTGCAAAATCCTTGATAGCGGGAGAGCACGACACGGTTGAAGTACACGTAAAGGAAGTCGTCCCAGCTGCGGCAGACACTGGCTGCAGCATCGGTTTCCCCAGCAAGCAGGGCGTAAACCGCTCGCTGAAATTCATCGGTATTGGGGTCGCGTGTTAGCGCAGCGCAAGCGGTGCGCCATGAATCGTGGGATCGACTGTTCATCAAACGTGTGTGGCCATCGTCAGATGGGTATCGAGAACTTCCCGATTTGGGATCAACACTAGAGCCGCACAGGCTGACGGCCCTCCATCCTTCCAGACGAATCTCTGCCCATTCACGAATTTTAGTCCAGTTCTCGCCCTGTCTGAGCATCTTCCAGCAAGTTATCCAGGTGGCGCGTTCGAAGAATTCGTCCTCCTTTTCTAATCCATGCTTCTGACGAATGATAGCATCGGGATCGAGTTGAGTGACTAGCGGTTTCTGTTCGTGTTTGCTCAAAAGCGAGCGCGAGATTCCCGGGTCATTGGGCTCGAGAGGCTGTGGCCAGGCGCGCAAACGTTTGTGGCCCTTGATCGATTCCTTGGTATAAAGCCAACCAGTTGTCCACAATCCTTGGCCTCTTCGCGATTGCTCCTCCATTTCTGTAATCAGGGTGTCGAACTCTTGGCTTCCTGTCTTGGAAGTCTCCTCCAACCATCGCATGGCAACCACACATTCAAGGCCATATTGGTCGGCATTGAGGAACTCTTCCCAGATCTCGCGATCGGTTGAGTAGCGGTGAAGGTTCTGGAAAGCTGCCTGTCGTCCTGCCTTGTAACTGGCCCGGCTGGAGGGGTCGTCAATGCTGATTAGGTTGAGCAGGAGGCGCCAAGTGTCGGCTTCAAGCTGCAATCGCCGTGTCTCTTCGTAACTTTTGGTGTCTTGCGACCCGCTCGACCGGAATCCCGTCTTTGTCCGGTCAACGGTCTGTTGGGTCTCGATTTCCTTGATTGCATTGTTCGCAATGTCGCGGTAGCTCTGCACGAGTTTGTAAGCTGCCTGGGCGCTGTTGAAATCGTCGGTGGAGTTGTCGCGCTTGAACTGATCCAGCTTATCGGCGAATGCTTCGATCTGGCGAGTGACGCGGTCAGCCGTCCGGCGAAGGGGGTGCAGTGCTTCCTGGGCGCCCGCGGCGGTGAACAGCGGGGTGTCTGGGATATATTTTAGTAAATGCGATTCGGACAGTAGATCTTGAGCCAACCTTGAGATTTGACCGAAACGCCAAAGGCAGACTGCATAGAGGACTCAGGATCAGAAACATCGGACCCGGTGTCCGATACTGTATCCCCATCCATATCTTCGTCCATGTCCTCATCTTGATCTTCAGATTGGTCTTCCGACTGATCTTCAGAGTTTAGTTCCTCGTCCTCCAATTCTTCATCTTCATCAAAAGATTGTTGCGAATCATCGTCAATGCTGATGACCTCAGTTTGTCGCGGCTGGGGAACCTATCCAAAGGATTAGAAGATGACAGAACCAAAGAACAAAGAAGATAGACGCACCGGTGTGAATGCCCCAGCGGCCGATCGAGTTAAAGGCGCCATGATGGGGAGACTTGGTTAGAAGGGAGGAGAGAGAGCCCTGGAGAGGAGCTCTGTGGAATAAGTTGTGTTTGTCTCTTTTGGTTTTCGCGTTGACAGACTAACCCCGAAGGAGACTAGCGGCAACCCCAGAAGCTATTTCAACGAATTTTCGCCCGCGCCCTTCTCTCTTTCTTTTCTTTTCTTCTCTAATGTCTATAGGCTTTCATTAGAGTCTCGGTATGAAAACTCAATTTTCGTACAGGTCCATGAGGCCTCTTTGCGTGCTCACGATTGTCTTATAATAAATGCAGTTCTTCAATTAGCCTGGTTTCCTCCATATGGAAACTCAGACCGCAAGGGAATTGTGACATCCACCATCTTCGACATGGGTCACTTGAAAAATTAAAAACAAAATGTAAAAAGCCTCCAGCTCATTGCTTCTCTGCTGCTTGAGCTCGTTGCCTCATCTTCAACCGCAGTAAATTTGCTTTAGGGCAGCTGGCGGTAGAGGCCTGGTCACCTTGCTCTTGGTAGAAGGCATTGCAGCATTCATACAGCGCATCAATTTGTGCCTGGCATTTGTCCTCATTAAAGGAGTTTTTCTGCAAGCAATCTGGCTTGGGTTAGGCTTTTTTTTTTTGGTGTGAACATGCTATGAATTGGAAAAATACCTTGAATGGCGCACTGTTACACTGTCAGTAAAAGCCACTAATACCACCTGTGCACCTTTAAATGGACGCTTCTTAGGCAGGGACACATACAGCACGCGGTTTGCAGGGTTGATCATGCGACAAATCTTGCTTTAAATTACCCTACAAGGGTCTTAGCATCTAGCCAATATGTTCACAGTGATAATTTCCATACCATAATGCAATTATAAAAGAATGTGCTAAATGTACCCCGTACAAAGCGTTGTAGACACACTGTTTCTTGGAAGTGACGAAAATGATAGAAGAGCCAAACGCAAAATAGATTCTCCGCCTTCAGACCGTGGGGCGAGTGCGCTATTCTGCCGCCGCCGCTGATCTCTCTTCTTCCTCTCTCTTCTAACTTCACCGTTTCCACAACCTTCACTATCTCGTCTCTGAGCTTTCGTCTACTAGGTGAGTACCTCATACTTCAGTTGTCCCCTCAAAAAGCGTCGAAATCATGATCTAACCATCTTCGAACTCTGCAGACATAAATTCAAACCCCCGCTCCAAGAGGTTCCTGAACTCGCTTCTACCGTTGTAAGCATTCTGGCTCGTCGCCATTCCATGCTCCACAAGAAGTAGCCGTTTAACGAAACCCAGACCGCAAAATCATTCATCATGTCCGACAAAGAAGGCGCTGCTCCTCCCACCGAGCACCTTAACATTAAGGTCACCGATAACAACAATGAGGTTTTCTTCAAGATCAAGCGCACAACGCAGCTGAAGAAGCTCATGGATGCATTCTGCGAACGCCAAGGAAAGCAAATGTCCACTGTTCGCTTTTTGTTCGACGGCACCCGGGTTCGCCCAGAAGATTCGCCCGATACTGTACGGCCATTCCCCTCCGCATTTTTCGCCATCCATTGATGTTTGGGAAATTTAAAACTAACTGTAAATAGCTCGATATGGCAGATGGTGATACCTTGGAGGTTCACCAGGAACAGATCGGAGGTTGCTAGACGACAAGATCCGCATTCTAGAATCGCACTTCCCGACGGAACCGAGGCTGCTGGGGCGACATACGTGGGGGGATATGCTAGGGCTGATGGCCAGCAGTGGATAGAGAATCCTCACAAACGGCCCATGGGTGAAGGGGGCGGCGTTCATACTGCTTTTTTTCTCTCTTATGAATGATGATTATCAAAGGTCACCTGGTCTTCTCTGCAGACTTTGAGGGTACTTTCGCTATATTCAATTTCCCTTGGGGTCAACACGACCGCACCGCGTAGACATAGTCTAAGTTTGGCCCTAGGCGTTGGATTTGACTCTAGGTCTCAGAAAGTAGGGCGTATGCCAAACTAATAGAGACTTCCTTTTTCCGGGAGAGTGGAAATATTGCAACAGCCTATTCCATTCATTACCTTGTATGACCTATGAGGTCTCGATGTAAATTTGCGCGTCGGGATTACTGTGGTGCTCTATACATTAGGGCCTTCTATCACCAGAGGTCGCCTCGAGCAGTGAGTTATAGGGTAATATTCCAGGACCAGAGACCCCCGCAGTTGTCTTCTTAGGGTCCATTGATCGACTGTGTCTGTTCTTCATAAACCAATAAAGTTCAAAGCATCATACGAAACATCAAAAAGCCAACCTTTCCTTCGCCCATGATAATCCGACATGCAGAGAGAAGATAAATATAAACAAGTCCAATTCAATAAATATGTACATTTGTATGGAGAGCCAATCGCCTAATATGATCCAAAAATCCACCCAAAAGCCACCTAACTGTTCCAAATAGAAGCCTTCATCTTCTCCTCCTCCTCTTTAGCCTTAGCCTTCTCCTCACGCTCGCGATTCCGCCTCCGAATTTCCTGCTCTTTAACCGAGCGATCGTAAGCACGCTGCTGCTCCGTCCGCTTCGGAGCGCGGATCCCCAACGCACCGGCAATCAACCGCTCCGCAACAGCAGTCTGCTTCTCCGGGCGACGGGTAGGAGGGCCCTTTGCCGAAGCAGGAGAAGCAGCTCTCGCCGTCCACGGGTTGGAGGTCTGTGGAGAAATAGGAGTCGGTGGGGGATCTAGCGGTCCCTCGGCGCTGATGGTTGGCGAGAGCACCGGGGTAGCGTCTTCGTCGTGGGGTTGGGCTTCCTCGCTTTCCGGGGCGGAGAGGTCTGCTTCGTCTTCCCAGGAGTCTGCGACGGGTTTGCGGGATATTTTTGGGTTTGATTTGGGGTTTGATGTCACAGCTGCTGTTGGGAGTTTTTTCACGTTTGGTCGGGGGATATCTTGCACTGGGCCCTTTCCACCTATGGACAGGTTGCGGAGTGTGGATTCGAGTTCGGCGCTTGGATCAGACATGGCACTGGCACGTGGGAGTTCGGGTGTAACGAGCAATAAATATACAAAAGGGGTGGGTTAATGGCAACAAGTGTATTAAGTATACCGTTCAATTTAAGAAAGATTTGTGTCGGGCTCGAAATAGAACTAATGGCGTCAGTGCTGGTGGCATCCCTGGTCGATCGTGGAGAAAAAAGAAGGGCTAGACCTTTCTGGTTCGGCTTTGTGCCTCAGGATTGTCAGGCATCAATATGGTCTTCTATTTTTATTTCAGGCATAGTAATGATAATCCAACATGTTTATAATGAATATTCATTAGGTCTTAGCGTACTCCGTAGTTATACAAAGTACATAATGCCAAGTCCGAATTTGACCCCTTACGTCGGAAACAGTTGAAGCTAGTAAAATAAGCTGGCTGTTGTATAGATCATTTCCCCAGACAGGTACCTATATGCAGTATCCAACTATTGGAAACCTGCATCAGATGAAGCAATATGGCAATAATAGTTGCACAGTGCAAAATAAATATCAAAGAGAACTGATCAGTATCATCTTTGATACAGAGTACTTCGATCTTCTATCTGTCTATAAATCCTCTCTGTACCCCTGGTTTTCCCTCTTCCCTGGTCCCATATTCCTTCTTTTCCAAACATCGAATTGCAGAGCTATCATACCAAAACTACAACATGAAGTACCCAATTTCTACCATCGCCTTCCTGGCCACCTTGTTCAGCCAAGCCATCGCTTTGAAAAGCAATGGGGTCTACGAAATCCAGTCCCCTCGCTCTGGAGATGTTTGGGGAGTTCAAAACTCCATCGGTGTCAAACATCGGGTTGAGCTGGTACACCCGGAAGGCAAATCAGCTGAGCGCTGGCGTCTAGTCTCTTCCGGCCCAGACTTCTTCATAGAAAACATCTACACCCAGGGCATGCTTGCATGCAAACATCAGTGCGAAGTGGACACGCTTGGAAACGATGCACAGCTTTTCAAAGTCACCCAGAATAATGATGACACCTTCACCTTCCACCCCTCGGGAACCCAGCTGGTCGTAGCAGCTGGGGAAGATAATGAGTTGGAGGCCCAGCCTTCGGGTCCATCAGTTGATGCAGCCTTCGTTCTTCGTAGCAAGTGTGAGTCATTATAACTACTTTGCCATTTGTAACCTTGAGCTATTAATCTAATACCTATCATTCATATAGAAACTGGATGACACGAAGCTTGTTCCTGATCCTATTTGGGATTAGTGATATTTTGTCTATAATGCTGGGAAGATGGGGGACATTGACAGGAAAGCACATGTACCGGATAATGTTTGAGCACAAGTGTGTGTTGGTGGTGAGGTATGTGAGCTTGTAAGACGTGCATTGTATAGAGCAAGGAACATAAAGATCAAATTGGATATTCTGTCTGTTATAAGATCAGTTCTCATGTGCTCTTTGAAATCAAAGGCCCCGAGATCTAGTAAGATTTCTCGGAGTCAACACCCCAGAAAGTTCTCAGGATTTATGCAGCCAGTGGGAGTTATCATCCATTCTTAGAGTATCTTTGGATAAGTAACTTCGAATTGCAAAATTATTCCAACACAGGCAATTTAAAACTTTTAACATAAGGAACAAACAAAGTGCTTTCGAGTGGCCTTGAACGAGATCAACCCATCTCTCTTCGACCCTGACATTAAATGTATAACAATGCATGTATAGACATTGCTGTAGCCCGATAATCTCCGTACCATCATACTGACATGGCTAAATCAAAATCGACACCGCATTGGACTTTGAATCTAACACATCATACGCAATTTTATCGCCCACATCGTCTGCATATTTCTTGAATTCATAGTCGGTCGCTTGGAGCGCCCTGTAGAAGTCGCCGATTACCTCGCGAGTTTTCTTGTCCGTATCTGTGGGTGAGGGTTTACTCCCATAGATATTGTACATTGTAGCAATGCACCCAATCAGCGTTTCGCTCTCCTGGTTTGGTTTGAAGCTGAGGAGGTATGGAACATGCGAAGAAAGGAGCCATTCACGTGGATGGTTCATAGGCAGCGCTTTGACAAGATCATCCTCTGTATAATGGATCAGCTCCTCCAGAGAGGTTGGTGGCTCAGCGAAAAGACAAGAAGGCTTGTTGATTACAAAGCCCTGGTAGTAGTGCTGCAGGTAATTGACAGCCGTGTGCTGGGGCGATGCGATGTGAATGCACATGGTTACACAGTCGACTAGCTCTTGGAACGTGCCAACAGTCGGGAAGGAGGAAAGATTGGCACCAAGGGGATACCGCATCTCTTCAGCCCAGTCTTGAATCTCTTTGTCATCGCAGACTTGCTGATCCGCATCAGGCCCTGGGTAGATCAGAGACAGCATGCCTTCCACGTAGGCCCGGATCTTGTTCCACATGCTGTTGATACAGCGGGCGTAGGCGTATTTGTGAAACTTGGGATCATTGAGTTTCTCTGGAGGGAATCCCCGGTTGCGAAGATCGTTTGGTACGTAACTATCTTTGAACTTAAAGCTCGTGTACTCGTTGCAGATAAATTCAAGGGCTTCGTCTTTCTTGAAACCCACTATCTCGAGAATGACAGACGGAACGAGAGTGTCTCGGGCAGCTCTGTTGAGTGCCAGGGTCTTTTGCCAGTGTGGACGGAGCATCCGAAACAAAGGGTGCGTGGGGTTAATGGTTCGGTTGGCGGCGACAATAATGGCCTCTTCGATCAAATGAGTACGTGTAAGATGCACAGTGACTTCGTGCCGAAACCAGTCACTACATTGCACACAAGTCTTGGCTATATCGGCACCAAAAAGTCAGCATGCAACGTAGGGGACGTAACTAATGGGAGGACTTACCGTATCTCCAAGGCCAGTCATCAACCTCAGTATTCTTCTTGGATTCAGGTGACTGATAGTCTTCCCCAGTCCAGATATTCGTCCGCTTGAATAATCGCCGGTTGTAGATTGTCACGGAGTTGTCAGGACTGCCCCGCCAATCGGTGACAATAGCTAGCGGATAAAGATCGCCTATATCATTAAGATAGAAAAGGCACACAGATGCGCAACTATACCGATATGCCTTTTCCCCGGTCTTAGGGTCCTCGAATTCACATTTGATGTCGTCATCCGCTTTCAGACCAGCAGCAGTGCGGAAGTAGCTGTAATCCTGCATGTAAAGGGACTCTCGGGAGCTGGTTTTCAGCTGGGTGATGGTAGTCTCGGCAACTATATCCCCTGGTGTCTTTGCAGCGTGAATAAAGTGGTTTATCCAATCATCCGAAGCCCGTTCAATGGTTGTGGGATTCGTCCCTGTAAAATGCTGCTGGGCAAATCGGGCATCGCTGTACCAATCTGACAAATCCCCCACGTTGTCACGCTTGAATATATCGTCAAACCTATTTTTGTGCTCTCTTGCTCTCTGGAGTTGCTCTCGATTATAGTCTTCCACCTTTGCAATTGTCGTTCCCACGTCGGGTGTGCCTACAAATGTGCGCGGGATGGCGCCCAACATGATCGTTTTCAACAGACCCAGGTGTGTCCAATTAAAAAGCCAAAATGGCGAATGGTCTGGGCTTTGATCCGTGTTTTCCTCATCCCATCCCTCGTCGTGAAGGTTAAGGTCAAGATGAGGTGGATAGCCGTCTCGAGTCTTTCCGTTTTCTTGAATCTGTGTGAACTGAAAGAGTTTGCGTCTTTGTTGCATGGTCAGACGCGATGGAAAGATAGGGTCGACCTGGGCTACATCCATGACGGACATATAACTGTTGAGCATATTAGCCGTATTCGAAGAGCAAAAGATGTTTGATATAAGTACCGCTGTTCTATAAGACCGTAGATCTTGGTCAACGCCAGCCGTGTCCCTCGCCATGTTCCTTCCTCAATCACGGCAGGCTGCTTTTGTATGGCATCAAACAGCATCCAAGTTGCACCCCCGGGGCTTTCTGCGCCGGGTCCTTTCATGTAGGGAGTCAAGTCGAACTGCCCTGGCAAAAGCTTAAGGGTCGACAATTCATTTATGAGTGCACCAGAGTCCATGTCATTGAGTACAACTTCGTCAGGGTCCTCGGGCCATTTCGTCTCGGTGTCGATATCACCAGGCTTGACGCCAACTGCGGCGAGGTTTCGAAACATACTGCTGGAGAGGAGGCCTAATAATTGGTGAATCTAGACTAAACTAGGATAGTTGCTAACTGTTCAGATGAAAATAGGCCACCTAGGAAGTATAGGATGGCATTGAAAGGATTTGAGTATACCGAAGCTGATAGGAATCGTGAAGGTTTTATCCCTCCGGGTACTGTCTTACGAGCTTATGGTAATGTTTGAAAACATCAGCATTTCTGCAATATACTACATTGCTGCCGCATCCCACGTTGCCCATAACGTACAGTGTAGTGAGCAGTTTCTACTGCAGATTGCCATGTACATGCAGTTCCGAGAGTAGGCCTGTTTTGAACAACCGAAAACGGTCTGCCCCAAGGGATGCTCAAAATTAGGAATAGAATCGATGCAACTTAAGGTCATATATTTGGCAGTGTATGACTCGTGTTGTTACTTATCTAGACAATGCAAGCGCTACAAGCAAATATCTTGACCTACGGGCATCTTAACTCGCATACTACCGCCCATGACTGGTTCTTAACTTATTGAACTTATCGGTCTAGCGGACTGGGAGTGGACGACCCCGGCATTCCACATAATTCCCAATACTGATAGCGGAGGCGAAATCCCTTTAGAGAGGGAATTACACGAGGGAATCTCAGAAGAGCTATGCAACATAACCCTGGAGGGTAAATATTTAAGGGAGAATAGGACCAGTCAACAAATCCGGTAATGATCATCGAACACCTACTCATCAATTTCAAACGCAGCTATGTTTACTGGGCCGCACCTGGAATGTTTCTTTCAACATACTTTGGACCCACCAATCCCGAAGCGTGCCGTACCGCTAGCGTGTAACCTGGCACCAGTTGCCATAAACGGTAGGGGTCCAACGATTTGTCTTAGTCCAAGGTAATGATTTATTGATCGGTCGAAATGGTGACGTAGATACTGGACTCGTTCAATGTTATTAAAAGTACTATGAATTTCAGATGGATCGTTACACGACAGGGAGAGAATGCTTTATGTTCCATGCTGGAAGTTGAAGCAAGACTTTGCATTCGGTAGTAGTATGCAACTGTGCCCGAAAACGTTTCTTGATCATATCCTCAGTCTTAAGGCACCTGAGTAAAAAGATAATTGAACCGAGTACCCAGAAAACCTCGTTTGAAATCACCCCGGCGCTACATACTGCAAATTGTGTGCCCTGGCCTTCCTCTCTGCGTATATGAATCGGCTATTCCTCGACATAACAAGATTCGCTCTCCGATCAGGCTCTTCTGCCTGTCACATTGTTTTTAATCACGCTTCGTTTGGCCTCTTCCGTCCCATACCCATGCCTCACTCCACGGTCATAGATCTTCCCGAGGCCGTAAAATATGCTGACTTAACAGCAATAACTACACTCAATGGTACATCTCCCAGGACTGGAAATTATTTGGGCAAGACTTTGCTCACCTTATTTGAACTATACTCGAGATATTGTTCCTCAATCCTTGCTGTTGGCGCATTCAACTTTTTTCTTGCTTAATGACCTTATATTCCTCCATTGACACAGCATAGCTGTCATTTAAACCCACAACTAAATGGTAAGTGGAATTCTCAAGGAGTGTAGACCAATCAGGGGGCACTGGTGTCCTTGACTAGGGAGAGTCAACAAAGACCATCCCAGCTATATGTCCTTGATCTTGCTTTTGACACTCCAAAATCGAAGCCTTTCGAATCGCAATGGATGCCAAATAGTATCTCTAGTTCAGGTTGGCGTTAGTTTGGCCGTAAAAAAATTGTTTCATCAAACAGTATTCCCCAGCTCAGCACAAAGGGATTGGACTAGTCCCGACCCTGGAATTTAGGCGTACAGCCGTAAGACTAACATGAAGATTTTGTTTGACAGCAAACGCCCTTTACACTAGACTATAAGAGAAAAGAAAATCATAATAAACATAGATATATATAATTTGGTCTTACCGCTGATCTCGGTTTCGGCTTTCTGTGTATATCGGCATACACCCAATGGCACTTGTGGCAGGGTTGACACACTTAACCCTTAAATCTGCTCATTTGAGGCTTTGATATAACAGAGGGCAGATTTAAAAGAAAGAAAAGGTTGTACACGGCAAATTAGATGCTCTGCAGATCTTGGCATATACTTGCAATTTTTTTCCATTGTATTAAAAGGGGCCTGGGTCGCGGGGTGAAGTTAAGTAGAATGATCTACTATACTTTGAGCTTTGACTAGAAAATGTTTAATAAAGCTCCCCCTACAAGCCTGCGACCATGGCTTTCATGCGAAAGCGATCTATCGTGGTCGAGAGCTCTGGGCAACATCGGCCTCTCAAAGAAATATAGTATGTAAGAATGACACATGTACATCTATATCTATATATATCTTTCTTTGATACAGGAATATGGGGAGAGTAAAGAAGCCAACTTTTCTTCGTGACTTTCATACAGAGTACCCCAGACCTTAATTATATTCCTCTATGCTGGAGCCATGGTTGAAATCCGCGCTGCAGCTAAATGCGCGGAGGTGACTCCGCAATGCCCAGTCGAGAACACTATCTACGGCTACGCACCTGATTTTGCGTTCAGCCTGGAATTTTGTTTAATATTCGGTGTTTGTTCCATGATACAGCTCTGCCAGATGATCAGATGGCGCCTATGGTCTTTTAGTGCTGCCGTGCTTCTCGGTTCTTCAACCGAGCTGATTTGTACGTCAAACTGTAACTCCCTGAGAATGATCCATTGACTGTCCCCAAAGGCACTGACAAAATAAATAGGCTATTTTGGTCGGATGTTGCTCAACGAAAACCCATATTCATCCGCCGGCTTTAAGACGCAGATTTGTACTTTGACAATAGCACCCGCCTTCTGGTCGGCAGCCATATACCTGACGTTGAAGCATGGAGTAGACGTTCTAGGGTAACAATACTCCATACTGAGGGCGAAGTGGTATCCCTACCTCTTTGTTACCTGCGATATTATTTCGTTGATTCTTCAAGGTGCTGGCGGTGGTCTTGCAGCGGCAGCTCAGACATCCAAAGCTAGTGACACGGGCAGCAATGTCATGTTAGCCGGGATTGTTTGGCAAGTTGTCACCTTGACGGTATTTGGAGTGATGTCGGGCCACTTTCTTCTTCATATAAAGAATGCCCCGAACGATGTATTGACGGTTGAGGCCCGAAAAGTTTGGAATAGTCGCAATTTCTGGGTATTTTTTTGGGGTACCTTTGTGGCATTTATGACAACTTATATCCGTTGCGTATATCGGTAAGCTATTGGCTAAATTATTTCGATATCTGCCAAGTACTGATATTGGAGTTTCCAGTATCGCGGAGATGGCTGGCGGATGGAAAAACCCCATAATGCAGGACGAACTTGATTTTACTATCCTTGAATCGATGTGAGTCAAAACTTGGCAAGGCAATTGTTATGCATGTGAAAGTGCTGATGGATCCTAGGATGTGTGCTGTCGCTGTGATAGCCCTATGTGTGACCCCTCCTGGGTACTTCTTCCCGCAAATGCGTGGAAATTACGCCGGATCAGTGAAGGATATGAAGAAAGTGAAGAGCCCTGTTTTGCTCCACCCAGAGCCACAACGCAAATATCACGGCCTCGTTTGATTCTGGCGAGGTCACATGGACTATCTTTTGCCCTAGTGATATTTGAGGAAATTTAATCGTTTATGTTTAAGAAGAGTTATCTAGAGATACCTTAACAAGTATATTTGGCTGCTTATACGGCTATGCCATGTCATTTTTAGTAGTCACTTTGGTATTGTTCTCATGTATATGAAGCAAACTGTATGAATAATCTTTCCATTTTATAACCAGGGATGTGGTATGGTGAATACTTATAGTAAAGAGCAAGATGATCCCATTAGAGCTAAGAAATAGTCACATGCTACTGGGTGGAATTATGAGTTATGGTCTCAATAACGTCACTGAAGCAAATTATAACAAGAGTCAAGGTCAAATGGTCTCTCCTGGGAGATCTAAATAATTCACATATAATAGCCGGCCCCTGCAGTAAAGATCCAGTGGAGCCAAAGCCAACTATGTTAGGCGGACTGTACATCAACACTGGTCATCATAGTGACGGTGTGACTCTCAGCCTGGGCAGTGGGAAGGTAATGAGTGAGTTGCTCTTACGACGGATGCATTCTATATTGGTTTCGGATATAGATCTAGATTTAGAGCTTTAGTGGAATGTGACTTTCATATAGCCCCTATAGACTCAATGTCGCCTGGCGAGCTATAAGTTTCATTAAATCGTTACATACGATTGAAACAGAGATCTATGCCGTTATGTTCTATCTAGTCTAACCACATATACACTTCGACTGTAGAGCAAAGCAACTATTGACCCTTAGCTAACGCGATGACTTTCTTTGCCGCCTCTTCAAATCCATCAAATGCATGCAAAGGGAGGCCACTCTCCGCAATCTACGAACATCCAAGTTAGAACTCAACAATGGTAGCGAATATTCAGATCAATGCTTACCATCTTCTGGCCCAGTTCCTCATTTGTACCTCGCAGTCGGACAACCACTGGAACCTTCATATTCAAATCTCGGAAAGCCAAGATAATGCCCTCAGCAATCATATCGCAGCGAGTCAGTCCGCCAAAAATATTGACAAAGACGGCTTTGACACGCGTGTCAGAGCAAATCACGCGAAATGACGCTTTGACAGTCTCCGAAGTAGCCTTGCCACCGGTGTCGAGGAAGTTCGCGCAGTGGCCGCCGTGGATAGTAAGAGCATCGACTGTGTTCATCGCCAGACCGGCTCCATTAACTGGGCGGGATTGTGAGCAAATGCCTTTTGTTTCTAACGAGGTGTAGAGAGGAATACATACCAAGCGTGCCAATGCTGCCTTCGCCTTCCAACCTATCAGATGTCAGCAGAGATACAGACAAAATCTCCGAAGTTATGGATGTCCTTGTTTGTACATACTTGACGTAAACAATCCCATCCTTTTCGGCTTCAACCTCCTCCGGGACCTCTTCGGATTTATTTCGAAGTTTATGAATATCTTCCTGTCGGCCCGAGCTGCGGAATGCAGCATCATCGAAACCAAAACGCGCAGCGTGGATCTCCAAAGTACCATCAGTGGAGATGCCAATACGCGTCTCTAGCGTAAAGGCCTCCTTTTCCTTGTAAATTTCCCAGAGAGCTTGTACAATGCCTGAAAGCTGCTCGTGGGAAGAGTCTGGGAGACTCAAATTCGAGGCAACAGCAGTGATGATAGAGCTATCTAACTTGGTTTGATTGTAGGGAAATGGAAATTTCTGCGACTGAGCTGGGTTAAATTCCGAAGTCGGCGAGGCAATGATGCATGGCGATAAAGCCATTCGATCGACTGTGATGGAAACGGAAATAGAACTATCAGAGCTGGCAGCCGTATCATCCACAAGGATCGACTTTTGCTTGAGGATGTCGAATGCCTGGAACTGCTTGATGTAAAGATTACGCTTATGTTCAGTTGTCGGTCTCGAAATTGGAGTGACTCGTCTCATAGTATGGAAGCCACGTTTTTGTGAGCTAGTCCCGGACATTGGCTGTGTGTATGTCAGTTTATATAATATCGGATTTTAAAAAAACACACTCACACTTGTACCGGGACGACTAGACTGGTTCGCGAACAAAGTCTTCATCCCTTCACCAAACTTCTCGGGATGGTTAACCATGACCGCCCCAGCACGTTCAAGTGCTCGATATTTAGTTTCCGCATCTGGTTCCCCAGGCGCAGCCCAGGCACCGGCATGTCCCATAATCCGACCAGGGGGTGCTTCCAAACCCCCAACAAGGGCCATAATAGGCCTATCCAATATTAGCATTGCACTCGAAAAACCCAGGGACCAAAAAGAAAGAGGCAATAACCTACTTAGGATCAACCGTCCTATTTCGATAACCCTTAATCCACTCAGCAGCATCCATTTCCGCCGTCCCCCCAATCTCACCAACCAGAATAATACCCCGAGTATCAGGATCATTCTCAAAAAGTGTGAGAGCATCAACAAAGTTCGTGCCAGCCAGCACATCGCCGCCCATACTAATACAAAGACTCTGACCAAGACCAGCGCGAGTCGTCGACGCCACAGTTTCATAGCTCAGTGTCCCAGATTTAGCCACGATACCGACATTACCCGGCGCGAAGCAAGGCAATGGCTGGAAGCCTATTCGGCATTTTCCAATGGCGGATATAATGCCTGGACAATTTGCACCTACCAGACGGGTTTTGGATTGTGTTTGGAGCATGGAATGGATCTGTAACACTGTTAAAACCGAAAATTCACTCTTTTCTAACACGATTAATATCAATCGCGAGTAAGTCATACCCGAAGGATGTCGTGGATCGGCACATGTTCTGCCACAGCTACGACGAGTGGAATTTCAGCTTCAATAGCCTCTTCGATGGCTTTGGCGGTCTGGTTTCCCGGCACATAGATTGCGGATGCATCGGGTTTTGCCCGTTTTTGGGCCTAGGTGCTCGTCAGTCAACTAGTCAAATTATATCCTCCCCAACGGGAGCACAATTAGTCTAATCCTCATACCGCTTTGACAGATGGGAAGACTGGTAGACCTAGATGTTCGCCTTCAACGCCGGGCTTGACACCTCCCACGATCTTAGTGCCCCATTCAAGAGACTCCTTGACATTGGCAGTCGCTTGTCTTCCTGCGGCGGAGATCAACATTCCGTGGCATTCCATTGCGGGGACATCTCAATTAAAACAAACAGGAGTAATTACCCGTAAATCCTTGGAATAATACTCTCGTGTGAGCGCCAATCTTGAGGTTTGGTAGAGTGTCCGCATAACTGGCGGTGCGGGGGGTGGATGTGAAGCGCCTTGTTAGTGGAGCCCGCAACTGGGGCGCTCGTTTTGGAAGGGTGTGCAAAGTCATAGTGTTTAGGGTGGAATACACATGCAGATTGGCACGGTGAATCGATAACTAAAATGAATTATGTACAATGTCGATTTCAAAATCCGATACGTCAAGAAGGCTATTGAGCTAAGTCGGCTAATCCGGTCTCGGTTCCCCACATTTTGCCGAGGATGCCCTATTTTATATTAGGAAATTAAGCATTTTGATCGGAATAAGACCGATATAGTAAATATAAATTCATACTTCATTTTCTGATTAAACTAACTAGATACTCTCTTCCGCTCCAACCATGCATGATCAATACTCATTAAGATGAAGCTTCTTCCCCACAAACCTCCTTCTAGCAGGCTTCTCGCCGCGTTGTTCCCGTTCCGCATTCAGGCCCTTGAGCGCATGAAGGAGCATACCAGCATCAAAGAAGCCATCTAGTAAGACAATAAGTTAGCAAAGCCGCGACCCAATAACCAGCAACCAAAGGCGCCAAAAAGAGTAAAGAACTTACATCCTCCCATCCCATCATCCTCCATAAAGCTACTATCAGCAGCCGAAGTAGGCGTATCAACACCCTGCGCACCCCCACCTCTGACAATTCGACCACGCCGATGCGACTCGGACTGCAAGCTCTCCGCAAGCGCCTCAGTCTCTCTCGCCCGACTAGTACGCGGACTCGTCGCCTTGCGATTCGTCGCACGCAACAACTTCCGAATCTCAAACAGATACGACTCAAGCGTGTGCATAAGCCGCGATGTCTGTCTGTGCTTGGAACTCGCGCAGATCGAGATTGAGTCGTCCTTAATAATATAGCCGATACCGAAGCCGTCGGCGGATGTGGGGCCGAAGCCAAAGTGTCGCAGACACGGGTTTCCGCAGTTCGAAGTCGACAGCACGGTGTTGTTGATCTTGTCCCAGCCGGCGTCGGCGAAGATCGCGGGCGTTGGCGTGGATGTTGTACGGTAGGCGCGTGCGCTGCTTCCCAGTGAGGAGAGGCCGTCGTCTGAAAGGGAGGAGGAAGAGAGTTTCGGTGATCCAGGACCCTGGCTTTGGGTTTGGGATTGCGTTTCGCCAGGGCTGGAGTACCCGCCCGTTGAGCTGGTGTCTGGGAAGAGGCCTTCGTCGAAGGAGCGCTGCCAGAGGCAGTAGAGGGCGTAGAGGTGGCGGTCTGGGCCTTGACCCTTTGAACATTCCTTGGTGGCGTCGGTGTGTTTTTTGCAGGCGACACGGAGGGCGTCGACCTTTTGTTCGGCGGCGTTCTCGCCCCAGAATGCTGTGACAAAGTCGATGCATTCGGTTGTTACGGTGCGCACGGCTTCTGTGCGTCCGTGTAGGAACATCTTTGTCATGGCTGGTTCGTAGGTGTTCTCTACTCGGCCGTAGAGGCCGTAGTAGGCGGCTTGGAAGGCCATTTGGATGAATGCATCCGGAGAGAAGCCCATTGAGGTTATAAAGTTCTTGCCAAAGCCTTCAAAGTCCAGAACTTGGAATTCGTGCTGGCAGAGCAAGTCGGAGAGGTGGGATTCGGCGAAGCGGAGCGCGATGTTAAGCTCGGGTGTCATGTCCCATTCTAGCTTGCGTGGTGTCGTGCTGACATTTCCGAAACTTTGTGGGTCGCGTTTCGCTGGGTCTGGGCTGCTAGTTGCCCATAGGCTTGGGGATTGGCCGTTGATGGTCCTCGCGAAGCGGAGGATGGTATCAGTGTACACGTCACTGGCAAACCGTAGCACCGTGTGGCCATCCACACCGGTGTGCTCGAAATTGATACCGGCACTGCCGTTCTCGCAGACGATGATTTGCAGCTTGTCATACCACCGGTTGGTGCAAGTTCCAACCTGGACACCCTTAACGACTTCGCTTGTACCACAAAGCATATTAGCACAAAGCTCGGATGTGGTGGACGGCTCTGTGCCGTCGAGACATAGGACAAAGAGCGCGGTATCGACAATGTTCAAACACTCCGCGTTGTTAGATCTAGAGTCTTTGGTCATGATATCGCGTAGCCCCGACCAAACCTTCCGATTCTCGGTGCTGAGTACACCCAGAGCACCCTTGGCAGCCTCATGAAGCGGAGTTTGAGCCGCATCCTCAATGATTACCTGCAGGTTAAGCGAGATATCCTTCTCAGTCATGATCAAATCGCTATTGTCATCTAAGACGTCAAACCAGTAGAACTGTCCCCGACACATAACAACCATGTGTTTAGCCGAGGGGTCCTGGCTAATGACACAGCCATTGTCGGTAGGTAGACGTGCTGTTCCGAAAAGCCGCGAGTACTGATACATGCAAAGAGGCGTTCCTCGCACTGCATCAGGAGGCAACTCCTCTCGACGCACAGCTCGAACGAATGCTAGTGCTGAAACCGCCAGTGACGCAGCTCGAGTCACCTGGTGATTTCTGGCGGGAGTTGGGTCGTCCTCCAAAAGGAAAAATGGATTGAGGTTCAAAACGACAGCTGGCGAATGTGAGATGGGCGCAAGAAAAGACCGAACAGGAAATCCAACTTACGATTATCGAAATTCAAATAAGAATCATACCCTAGCAATGATCAGCTGACCTCCCACCTAAATCTTGATTCCAAATAGACTTACAAAATTGCTCAATATAGCTCGTCTTTGAACCAGCATAAGTCTTAAGCCGTTCTTGCAGAAGAGGACCATCATTCTTTAAAAAGTCTCGAACAGCGGCCTTGGTCTCTTCATGATCACGCGGGCTCTGCAAGCCCTGCAAAGTATTTATGTATCTGCGACAAGTATCCTCGAGATCGGGAATAGGAAGCTTAGGCAGCGAATCCTGGTTTGCAAAAGTCAAGCCCTGGCTCTTAGGCGTGTGGAGCTCAGCGACCTCAGAGGAAGGCCGTTCAGTAGAGACATTTGGTCTCATGACCGTGTGCCCTTGAGGGTCGGACCCATACTTTTTGCTTGTGTCGGCATCCATGGAATCGCCGAGTGGTTTGGGGGCTGTGAAGAATTGGACTGCCATTGAGGAGTAAGACATGATGTTAGATGTGTTCGGCGTCTCGAGACAAGATAAAAATCAAGCGTAGCAACTAGCGAGAACGGTGGGAATAGATAGAAGGCGTAAGGCTGTGCGGTAGAAGTAGTGGCAGTCTTGGAGGCAGTATGATGGCATTGAGACTATGTCATGTGCAGATGCAGATAGATGGGTAAGAGACAGGGGGAATGAAAAGAAAATATGCGGGGATAGATGAAAGTCACAAAATAAAGATCATGCAGCGACAACAGAGAAATTTGGGTGGAGCGAGACAGGAAGAGAGCATGGTAATTCTATATAGGCATGGGGGTTATAGAGTGATCTGGGCGGTTGTGGACCCGGCTCGGGCCTAAGGGGAAATGGAAAAGGACCATAGACGAATGGTGAACTTACAGAGCACTGCGCAATGGTGCAAATGATATGGAAACCCGAGGTGCAGGTTGGTGTGACCGGGTGATACGGTGGAAGAACGGAATGATAGCGCCGGAGAAACGGATGAGTTTCGCTGTGCCGTTTGTCAGATGTCAAATTATTGCCAAGAAAAGAACCCCCGTGGACAAGTGGTTCATGGTGTCTACAAGGTCCCTGGTGATATTATAGGAGGCTCTGCGAGTTTGCAATATGTAGACATCACACCTTGGGCTATTTCCATGGAGGATGGCGATGAAATGGCTTTGTCTCGGGAGGGTATGCCCCTCACCCCGTGGGGGGTAATTAAAAGGGAAATGATAGGGTGGAATACCGGATAAACCAGGCTAAGAACTTACTTCCAAGGCTAATGTCAATCACTGGACCCTGCACGTTGCCGCAGGTATCTTGGCTTGGGGTAAAATTGTACAAAGAAAGCTTGTAACCCGTTGAGCTTGAGAGATTAAGGTCGACTAGCTCTTTAATAAAGATAGAAAGAATCCTCTCGGGATGGAGGGAGTATTTTACCGTGTACCCGATACAGAAGTTCCTGAAAATTGAAGTATATCGGGATAGGCTCTCACTTCACGTTCCAATGACGTTTCGGGCGAAGGGACCGGTCATGCGGGGGGAGCTCCAGGTCACGTGAGCACAGCGTCATAGAGCTAAGAACATATAAGCATTTAACTACAACTAGTTCTACAATAGAAAATCCTACGATTTCGTGGAGGATGTTGAGAAGACTTCATGATACGCTGGGTTGTACACGGTACATCACGCTCGCAAAAGAAAAGAAAAATGACGCCAGAGATTTTGTTATCCACAGGATGAGCCGCAACACAGGAGTGGCGGAAGACAAGGAGTCAAATGAATATTCACAATAGAATAATAATATCTGCATTGCCATAGGTCCTCCAAAGGAGGAGGACGGGGCACGCTTGCATACATACAGTATGGGTCACCAATCTAGGCGGGACATGCAAATGACGAAGAAGGTAAAAGACAAGAAGACAAATCCAGATGGCGCAAATCGAATGGGGAAGACATGTTGTTTGGAAGAACAAGATCAATGAATTTAGATCACCCCACACAAGAAGAATATCAGATGCGGCATTCTCAAATCAACAGCTCCATATATCCCGAGACGTTTATGAGCTGGGCTTCAAGACGTTGTCGGCATACTCGCCGGCGTAGTTACCGGGGGTGCCATAGTTACAGACAGTGAAGGGGGCGGGGCCACCAACATTGCCCAAGTCAGAGCAGCTAACAGTGGCACAACCGACTTCCGTGGTGGCCTTCCAGACAATCTGAGTGAAGTGGCCCCATTTTTCGAAGTTGGACATATCAGGGTTGGCCTCGCCGTAGAGGTTGGCGAAGTAGGGCGCCTCATCGGTGTACATCATCTCGCCGATGACCTGCTCGCCGACCAGGGCTGCCTCGACACCGTATGCGATGTTCTGACCGTAGTCTCCACTAGCGGACGTGATGGAGCTAGTGAACGTTAGTATGATTGTTTCTCAAGCACACCGAAGGAATACTTACGTGTCGTGAGCGTACGTGCAACGCGCGGCGAGGGTCTGGGCAGCTCCCGCGAGGTCCTCAGACCAGGTCAAGCCGCTCGCAGAGTGCTCGCTACGGTGAATGTTGTGGTAGTACAGGATAGTCTCCTGGTAGGAGCTGCCAGCGGTGGCAGCAGCAGTGGCAGCAGCAGTGGCAGCGGCGGTGGTCGAAGTTGCCGAAGAGGTAGCGACGGAGGTAACCGCGGGGGCGACAGAGGTGGTCACGGCCTTGATTTCGACCTCAGTGGTCGAAGATGAGGAGGTGGAAAATGTGGTCGCGCTACTGGGTTCAGCAGACTCAACCACGGCGGCAGCGGTAGTGGGAGCGGCAGCGGTAGTAGAAACCGCAGCAGGGGCGGACTCGACCTCAGCGGGGATCTTCTTAGAAACCTCGACCGTGGGAAGGGCAGCAGCAGTGGTGGGCTTGGTGTGGTCCTGCTTGACCGAAACAGCGGCGCTGGGGGTGTTGGTGGGCCACTGGGTCACAGTCTCGGTGACGGTGGTGGTAGTCCACTCGGTCACATAAACTTCCTTCTCAATAACCCTGGCACAAGTACCGACCGCCAAGGCGGCAAAGATGACAGCAGAACGCATTTTGAATTGAAGACAAAGAAACTCCTCCAGGAAGTTTGTGTGAAGAAAGTTGGGATTGGGTCAAGCAGATCGACTGCGTTGACAAAGGAATGTATATGGTAGGGATAAATGAGTGGCAGGCCTAAAAACACCTTCTTCCTTCAAGGAGTGGAAAGAAAGAAAGATAAGATGCAGGCTGAAAGGATTGGAGAGGACAGAGAAGAAGAGAAGAAGAATCGAAGAAGCGAAGAAGAGTGGTAGATAATGTAGAAAGGGGAGATGAGGAGGTGGGGGGGACCGTGCGGAATAGGCAATTAATTTTTAAAATGAGGCCCCAAATGAATGGAGTAGGTGAAATTGTGAAGATGGTATTATTTTATAAATTATTATACTGGGGAAAAGAAAAAAAAAAAAAAGAAAGTTCAATGGCTCTCTATCGTATACTTATTCTCTTTTCTGGGGATCTCCAACCTCTCGAGATTTGGACATACCTCAATGTGGCACATTCTTTAGTACATTCCAAGTCCTAGATACCATTTCACACAGATATGAGGCTGGTGATTAGGACGTTAAGCAAATATTCTCCGAGATTTTACGAATTAATTTCCTTTAAAGCATTAAGGATATGGATATATTAAAAATTAAAATTAAGAATATGATGTCCCGGGGTGTGTCCCTTGTATTGTCTGGACCGCCTTCTACAAGTCCATATTATGGAGTACGTAGTACGTACGCTAATCAAAAAGAGATAAAGGAAATAAAATAATTAAAAGTACCGTGGGTTTCTAAAGGAAAATCTCCAAAGTAGTATGGCGGAGTACTGTCGTGAACAATAAGAGCAATCGAGATCTCGTATGATCGAAGCCAAGAGACTGTCAACATTGGAAACCCCTGGACCTTGACCAGAAACGGTTTCAAACCGTCCACCCGTAGCTTTAACAACCAATCACAACATCCCACGGGAAAACAAAACCTCTCCACTTGAACCTCCGCTTATCCCGCTAAGAAACTTGGCTTGGAGGCCGATTCGGTAGTCTGCGCGGGCGGATCTGAAATAAATTAAATCAATCACCTTCGTTTCAGCCACTCATTTAAGGGAACAGTATTCTCCGGAATACCCGAAATAAAAATGAGGATACCTCGTTTTGGGGCTTCTCTTCTATGTTGTATTGAGTTTTAGGCAGCCTTCCGATATTAGTCTGATGATTGAACTCCGTATGGATCGTCCTAATCGTCCTGATAGTGGAAGATCAAAGTAACATCAGGGCTGAGACAGCCAATCAGAACGACATTCCCGTTGGCACACCTCACATCCACGGGTCATTGTGGGACAGGGCGCTTATACATTGTAGCAAGGGGAAATTCCAAAACATCATATTATCCTACCTGTACGATCGCATCTGCTGTACAAGTAAGCGTACGCAGTACTCCGTACTCTGTAGATACTATTCTTCAACATGCACCTCCACCTTTCCGGCATTTAAGCCCAGGGTCCACAGTCTAGACGGCAGGAGATCCGCTCTGAAATAACGTAAAGTGCCCAGATGTGTACGGAGTAATACCCAACCAAACGTCCAAGAACGCCACAGCCACACAAAACACTCTCGATGTGAGAATCGAAAAACGTAACAAAAAAAGAAAACTCATAGCGCCTAGAGATCAAGGTTTTGGCATCGCCCAGCCTCACAAACCATCAAGTAGTTCTTAGCCGGCTCAGAGGCCTTTAAATTTTGAAAGAGTGCATTTCGGGATTTGAGCCAGAAGGACTGATTTCCCACAAAGTCTTTCAAATGTGAGGGGCGAATGTCGACAATCGATGTGGCCACGATAGACGAGGACACGGCCACGCTGGCTTCGGCCCGGACCCGTTGCCGAATTACGTCGAGTGCTGACACAGGCTCATCATTCCGACTGAGGAGGGTGTCGCCACGTGGATTACGGATCGAAGAGATATCAGCGGTGGAGAATACACCCGTCACCGTGCGAGTGCCAATCTGGAGGCCCACGATCACGTCCAGCATTCCTACGAACAGGAAGGGGTGCTGGATGATCTCCACCGCGAAAGTGTTGCACGTCTGCCGGGCCAAAGTCCGGTAACTCTCATCCTCGAGCAGAGCGGATAGGCGTAGTAGATTACGCGCAATGACTCCGTTTACCGAAGGTGTTGCTGACTCGGTGCCGGTCTTCAGACGGAGGAGCGGTCCAGGCATGCCAGGGGTGGGGACGGAAGGTGTGCTGTAGTATCCAGTGGCTGTAGAGCCACTTTGAGCCAAGAAGTATTCATTGAGGTACTCTAGAATCATCAGGTTAGCCATTAGATCCCGTTCAAATCAAAGGGGCCTTTCTCACTTTGCAGTCGCTCGGCAAATTGAAGATAGCTGTCGTCGTAAGTAGCGTCATACATGTCGAGCAGCCCGCTAGCCAGGTATGCGTAGTCGTCGGCGAAACCCGGGGTGTCTCCACGGTTTCCATCGCGGAAAATGCGCCATAGCTGCCCCGTGGATTTGTCGAAAAGCTTGTCCTTAATGAAGCTAATTGCCCGTGCTGCCGCTTCGCGACAGTGCACAGCCTTAGAGCTCTCGATCTCCTCGAACAGAACACTACACTTAGCAAGCGCACCGATCGCCAATCCATTCCAGGCAACGATAACTTTGTCATCCAGGTCTGGCCGCCCACGGGTTCGTTCGCGGTAATCGTGCAACTTCTGCTTTGACGACTTGATGATCTTAACCACTTCCTCCTCGCTAAGACCGAATTCTTTAGCGAGTTTGCTCGGCGTGGCACGGATGGACAACACGTTTTGGTTCATGAACTCATCATGCGGGTCGTACTCAGGTGGAACGTTGCCGTCAGGGAGAACACCCCAGTGTTTGGCGCAAACGGGAGCATCCCGCGGCCCGAGGACTGAAGTGAGTTCCTTCAGCGACCAGACATAAAACGCACCCTCCCGCTTCTCGGTGTCATTGGGATGAGGGTAACTGTCGGCATCTTCCGAGGAAAAGAATCCTCCGGTGGGTGACTGTATCGGGGCGCTCGTCAAGTAGGCAGCTAGATCATATACAGCGCCGAGAAGTTCGGGGTCATGAGTGAGCCGGAAAGCGTCCACGTATACATCCAATAGCTGTGCCTGGTCATAAAGCATCTTCTCGAAATGGGGGAGACCCCAATCCGTTGTCACACTATACCGTGCGAATCCGTGGCCGATGTGGTCCCGAATGCCGCCACGGGCCATGTTCACTAGTGTCGTGACGGCCATCGCGGTTGCTTGTTCACACTCATCATGCCCTACAACATCCTTAACCTGGGTTGGGTAGGCGCCGAGCCGGAGTAGGAAGCTGAGGTTTGACGGTGTAGGAAATTTGGGTGCGCGGCCAAACCCGCCATTGACCGAGTCGTATCGAGATGCAAAATGCTGATACGCTTCTTCTAGAAGCTCAATATCCATTTCTTCGTCATTATCATTATCGCGATCACCTTGCTGCGAGTGCGTCCCTTCCTCGGCAAACTCTCTCAATTGTTTGGTGATTTCTTTGGCGCTGTCAAGACAGCGCTGCTGTTGTGTCTGCCAGACATCTCTCAATTTCTCTAAAATCTCCACGAATCCGATTGCTTCGGGGCCCGTAAATGTGTTTGAATTTGGGCCTTGCCAGTAAGTGCCACCAAACACAGGCTCGAGGTCAGGAGTCAAAAACACATTCAAGGGCCAACCACCAGAACCCGTTGTGGCCTGGACATAATTCATGTAGACGTCGTCGATGTCCGGTCGCTCTTCGCGGTCAACCTTGATCGGGACGAAGGACTCATTCAGAATTGAGGCCACCTCTGATGACATAAACGATTCTTTTTCCATGACATGGCACCCTAGACAAGATTAGAATCCCAGTACCACCAGAGGGGTAGTTGTAACCTACAATGGCATGCGGAGTAACCGATACTGAGAAAGATTAAACGATTGTGCTTTTTGGCAAGCTCCATAGCTTCTGCATCCCATACTTGCCATGCTACCGGGTTGTTCCTATGTGCCCGGACCTATTGCTGCGTGAGCGTGTCGCAATTTCTCCTGAGGGAAGACATCTCTCACATAAGGGGACTTGCTTTGCTGCAAGCGATTGACCATTTTAGGGCCTGTTACAGGTACGTCATGGCGTGGATGTGAGTGGTTGATCGAGGCGGCCATTGTGGCTGAGTTTTCAATGCTTTTGCTGGTCGGAGACTAGACGTCCGTCAGTCCGAGGCCCAAGAGGGGTTACTAATGTGTTCTAACAGCACAGTACCTAGGGACCAAAGTCTAGAAGCTACCCCACGTGTGATCGAGTCCTGGGCTTGTGGCACAAATAATATTTCGTAACTGGGAGGGGGGAAGGGGGGGACAGACGGGCCGGGTTGGAGGTTGGAGCGTGTCTTGAAGAATAAAGTCGTGTGCGGGCCAGCGCCATTTAGGCGGGGGAATCGAGGCGAAGGTCGAGGTCGCGGGAGATCGGCCCTGTGCGTCATGACTGCATCAGGAATGTCACGTGATCCATACTGTACGGTTGCAGGTGCACTTTGTAGTTGTAGACAGTTCTGTATAGTCTACATTGTATGGTATTTGGTGCAGTTACATGTCTCTCCTATGTATATACATGCTCAAAACACAATTGGGTATCACATCATCTAATCGTCTCCCATTAGCTCTGCCAACTCTGCCTCTTCCTCCGCCGTTAACATTGATTCGGCTGGCTTTTTCTCCTCCTCCTTTTCCTCTTCTGCGGGTTTCATCGCAAGCTCCACTGCCTGTTGAAGCTCATCGGGTCGAAGGGACCATTGACGAATGGTCGCATCAATTCCTACGCTGACTATGGTTGACCCTACAAGCACAAGCCCAGTGACCTCTTCGAAGTGGCCAGAGAAAGTATGATGGAGAGCGCCAGTCTATCGTAATTAGCATAAACACCATAGAAAGACCGAAAAATAAAGAATCCCTTACCGATCGGTTCCACACTCTGACTTCCTCATCCCGACAGGCAGTCACAACCCAGCCT